AAAAAAAAAAAAGAAACGCTAGAATGAATTTCCTCTATGTTCACACACATAAACATATATGAGTATACGGTATATAGTTTCTTATTGCAAACATAATAAGCCTATGTGAAAATACAGACAAAAGTAAGAAATGGAAATCATTTCTAACCTCAGTCAGGAAAAGATGATACTAATGCTTTGGCATATGTAATTATAGTCTTATTCTGTAAATATTTATTTAAAATTTTAACAAAAAAATTGAAGTAGTACTTCTTTATATTGTGTTTCATAATTATTTTGCATTTTAAATGCAAATCTCTTGTTATCTAGGGGCCTCAAAATCAAGTAATTTGGTGAAAGGTGCCTATTTCTTTTAATTGCTAGGCTAAAAAAGTAACAGCAAAATATGAACATCTGTTAGAAAATGAACTCTCACCTGTAATCCCAGCACTTTGGGAGGCCAAGGTGGGCAGATTGCTTGAGCTCAGGAGTCCATGACCAGCTTGGGCAACATGGTGAGACTCTGTCTCTATAAAAAATACAAACATTAGCTGGGTATGGTGGTACCTGTAGTCCCAGCTATGTGGGAGGCTTGGGAGGCTGAGGTGGGAAAATTGCTTGAGCCCAGTGGCGGATGTTGCAGTGAGCTGAGATTGTGCCACCACAACCGCATTCCAGACTGTGCAACAGAGGGAGACCTTGTCTCAAAAAAAAAAAAAAAAAAGAGAGAGAGAGAGAGAGAGAAAGATAGAGAGAAAAGAAAATGAACTCTGAACAAAACATGGGCAATCTCCAGTCAAAATTCCCTGGCGTGCGCCATCTCTGATACTCTGTTTTCCTTTAGCTCTCCTATCACATGAATTTCTTTAGTGAGTTAAATTAAAATGTCATTCCACTTTCCGAAGGCACAGAGTTCTAGTAAAATCTACATAGCAGATAATTCTAACCAACAAAGATGCAAATCTCTCACAAAAAGATCGGACTGCTACTTCTGTGGATCTGGAAGATGCTCAAATGTCATTTCAGTATGGTATGAACCAGTAGCCCCAAATAATAGATTAAATAATTTCCAAGATAGTTAGGTCCCAGGCACAATGGTGTACCTAACATGATTACATACTTTTTATCTCATATGATCGTCATGGCAACTTTGTGGAATAGGTATTATAATCATTCCCATTTTATGGAGGAGGACACTGAGGCCAGTGGTGTTGAATACAGTGATGCTGTATTCTTTGCCAAGTTGAATAACTTGCCCAAATATAGATAACTGGCCAGGCACAGTGGCACACGCCTGTACTCGTGACACTTTGGGAGGCCGAGGTGGGTGCATCACTTGAGGTCAGGAGCTCGAGACCAGCCTGGCCAACATGGTAAAAACTCCATCTCTACTAAAAATACAAAACTTAGCTGGCTGTGGTGGCGGGTGCCTGTAATCCCAGCTACTCAGGAGGCTAAGGCAGGAGAATGGCTTGAACCTAGAGGCGGAGGTTGTAGTGAGCCGAGCCAAGATCATGCCACTGTACTCCAGCCTGAGCAACAGAGTGAGACTCCTCCAAAAAAAAAAAAAAAAAAAAAAGATAGATAGATAACTGCTCACTCTTTTTATTCTAAATCCAATGTATTTTCTACCAGCCATAGCTATTTGAAGTGCTATAAGGGCAATTAAGACAAAGGCTGCATCATTCTCATTTAACAAGTTAAATATTTTGAAAAAAATCAGGCTCCTTCCTCATATCACACTTTAAAAATGCATCTTATATTTGAAGGTGGGAAGAAGTTTGTCTGCATCAAAAGTTTTAAGATATATATCCAAAAACATCATGAACAAAATTAAAAGACAAACTACAAAGAAAAAAGGTTAATATTTTTAAGATGGTTCTTAAAATTAAATTAGAACAAGAAATTTAGCAAGGGATATCAGCTAGCAATTACCAAAAGAAGAAATACACAGTGTTAATAAGTAGAAACAAGCACTCAATCTTAGTAATAATAAAATGAAAATTAAAACTAACAAATACCATTTTTTGCTAATCAACTAGTATAGTTTAAAAAAAAAAAAATGATGCCATGCCATACACTAATACCGCAGAAGGCAATGGATACAAACTTTTTGGAACAGTTTGCTAATATGAGTCAAGAGATAACCCAGCAATTCACAATCAAAAAATTTATTTTAAGCAAGGATATGAAATAGTTTGTAAATATGTATGTAGAAGGATCACCATATTATTTAATTACAAAAATGTTCAAAATAAATGCTCAGCAATAGAAAGATGATCAAATAAACTATGATTCATCTCACAACAATTACAATTTATGTTTTTGATTCTTTTCTTTACACTTTCATGTAAAACCCCAGTTTTCTTCAATGAACCTGCCTTATTATTTTAATCAGGAAAAAACATTATTCTAGAGATATCATGAGCCAAATCCATTATCTGTACTTAGGTCTGTTCTAGACTGTGTGAAGTGATTTATTTAAGAAATGACACTCATGTTTATTATGCATTAACTCTGAAAAGCTCATCGTGCTGTATTCTTTGCCTATGTGATCTCATTCAAGTCTCATGACAACCCTGCTAGGTAGGTACAGTCTGTGGTCAGCACTTTAGAGTTTCAGTGAAACCTGATGAACAATATTAAAAATAAGAGAATAAGGTTGCCTTCTGAGAGTTAAAGTTAAACATAATAATTAGGAAAGGAAATATAAAAATTACCTGAAAGCGACAGACTGGCCCCTGGACCCCATAGACTACATGTCTTGATGCAGCTGAAAGGATAGACAGGCCTAGTGGGCTAGGGCAGGGCAGAGAAGGGGATATCACAGAGGCCAGTGTGGGCCACATCCATCCAAGAGCCTCAGCCAACACACTTCCAGAGCTTCCAGTCCCTTTGGTTGCGAGAGCTTTTCAAATTTGTGTTAGCTGAGGAAGCGGACTACAGATGGGGGAGGGATCAGATGTGACCAAGAGCATCCATTCTGGGGTGGTTGCCTTGGGCCATCTTGGACTGTGCCATTCAGTGCTGGGGTCCTCCAGTTCCCCTTGTTCTGAAGCCTGGGGACACATCCAAACCTCACCTGCTTTCAAGGAAAGTCTACTGATAGGAAGAAAATGATGGTACTCACAGGCACCAGCATTCTGGTCCCAGTGAGAGCATCCTTACTCAATGTGAAAGAATCCATGATCACTCTGATCTATCTGTACACACAGTTAATTCTCATTATTCATGGTAGTTATGTTCCATAAACTTGCCCCTAGCAATGAATTATCGAATATTGAATCATTGCTCCCAAGGAAAATGTAGGGTTAGGTTCCTGTGAGACTCTGGCTATCACATTTTCATCAACAAATCACTACACAACCTTATTTTATGTGTGCTTCTGTTTAAAGATGCTGTATGTAATAGATCTCATTGAATTATGAACATTGAACTCCATACAAAGGCACTGTAACTCATGTCTGAATGAAGCTTGTCTCACACAGCTTATTTTCTCCATGAGACACATCGCAGCCTTCTTACACTTAGGAACACTAAACAGCATTTCAACATTATGCTTGGGGGCTATTTTAAACAGTGAAACCATCCATGAAAAGCATAAAAATGCAAGAAAGGTAGCACCAAGTAGACAGTGAAAAAGACACTGACTTAGAGTTGGAGGCCTGAAATAAGAAGGCAGGGCACCACTGTGTTTGATTCCAGTTGGGAATGTGCACATAGGGAGATGCTTTGTTTTGGGTTTTCTTGTTTTGTTTTGTTTTGTTTTGTTTTGCCTGTCTACACATGTCCACAAATGATTCAGAAAACCCTGCAAGTATTAATTAGGGAGTTACAAATAAATTTTAGCAAGTAGGTGAATTCACAAATATAGAATCTGTGAATAATGAAGATCAACTGTATACCTCAGGCAGATTAACTTGATGAACTGAAGCCTAACATTGAAAAATGCACCTTCTCGTGCTGACAAAGTAGTCTACTGGACCTGCAGAGCCAAGGCCCAGGCCCCACATGTGCCCATATTAAGAATCAACCAGTTCTTCCCCAGGCAGCGCATCATTCCCTCACCAGGGGCTATGCCTTTTTGTCTCTTTGCACTTCTACACCAATGATTCTCAAACTTTAGCATGCATCCAGGCTTGGTACAACACAGGCCACTAAGCCCACCCTCAGCATAACTAACTCAGCAGGTCTTGGGTAGTGGTTCAGATTTTGCATTTCTAACAATTTGCCAAGTGATGCTCATGATGCTGGTCTAGGGACTTCAGTTGGAGAACCTCTCCTCTATACGATTATCCTCATTTTAAAATCCAAAGCTCAGGAGTGTTGAGTAACTTGCCCAAAGTTTCATGCACAGCTAGAAACTTGCTTTCAAAATAAGATGTGGCTGAACTCATGATCAGCCCTTTGTGTTCTACTGTAATATCTTTGGTGCAGATTTCATCGTAATGTTGTACTTTAAGTAGTGGTTTTATTTCTAGGCTGGCCTATTCAATCCCAGTAGAGTTGGACTCTCAAACCAAGAATGCTGCTACAATTGTTAGGCCCTTGGCAGGCAGACCTGGGAGTACAGGAGGGAGCAGAGAAAAAAGAAGACAGGTTCCTCTCTTGTCCTGCTACAGGGTGATTCATACTTGATGACAGCCTGAGATATTAGAATACAAAGGAATTGTCATTGTATAAACTTAGTGGTGAATTTTGGTTGGGAGCCCATAGAAGGTAGTGATTACACACACACACACACACACACACACACACACACAGAGGAGTCTGATCACCTGATTATCTGTTATCTGAGTTTGAGCCACTGCAGGACACACAATAAGCTCTAAATAAGTGTTAGCTAATATGGTCAACATAGAAAGGGTGGGGGATGATGTCAACAACCTTAACAGTGAGATTCATAGCTGAGTTACAGAGTCAGGCCCTTTAGAAAAACTAATCTTCATTTAAGAGAATGTTGCTAAGCTATCAGATCCATTACATTTCATCAATAATATTTTTGCATCTTACTTTTGCAGTAGTATTCCATACTTCTGTTTACCTACATTTGGATTCAAGCACATTTTGCCATTGACAAATGATGCTGAAAGATTCAATGAAATTGTGAAGAATCAGAAAATTTCTGCTAATATCGACACACCCGAAGGTGGATTTGATGCAATTATGCAAGCTGCTGTGTGTAAGGTATGCTGAAGGGAGTGCTGTTTCACTCTGTTAACATAAAGTTCATCTCTTATTAACAATTCTACTTCAAAAAGATTAACTAATTTCCTTTCCTTTGATCTCTAAATTTCTACATTTTGTATTTTTCTTAAAATACACAATTTTTGCCATATGTTTAATTAAATCATGTTGAAATGGGGACTGTTCTTTATGCCTATGATGAATAATCTAAAAACATTGTGTTGGGAAAATTTAGTTGAAACAATAGCTATGCATGATTAATTTTCAAAGATCAAGATCAGATTAGTTTTTGGATTAATCATGGTAAAAAAAATCAAGAGTAGAACATTTATTTTAAGAAGTTAAAATGCTCTGAATCAGTATATGTCCATACATATGACTACATAGCTATTGTTTTGAACCAACAAAGTAAGCTTTGGAAATGTGCTGTCTCTACAACATCACAGGAACACTGCTTCTCCTTTACTATCTGACAAATATCCACAAGAATGATTCCCTTGTCTTTAGGCAAGAGCCCTTCATGGAAAATATCAGGAAATAAACAAGGCTGAAGCTCCTAGAAAGTGGGAGGACTAGGGAATTAGAGGAGGAAGGAAAGGAATAAGGTGGGATGGAACAGCCAGGATGCGTTTTTACCCAATTGGTTCCTGAACTAGTATTAATTAAAGGGGAGGGCTTTACTAAACACCAACAACAGACAATTTTAATTAGCAGGACCTTGGGGCCATACTTTCATAAGCAATGCTTATCCTTGTATTAGGTTTATAATTTTTGGATGACATCATTAGAAAGAGAAATATGTGCTTAAATGCTGGGTAACATTTTAATGAAACAGGCTTACTTTGAGCCCCTTTAACATTGCATTTTCATGAGTTTGGCTTCAATTTGGATTTGGGACCATCTATGACCTCCTCTGCTCAAGTTTTTGGAGAATTGAAAGCTGGATAGTAAAAATAATTTAACTATGTAAAAGTCAAGATCAACTGAATACTGATTGTAGTGGAGCTATGCTTTTCTGAAGCATAAATCATATGAAAATGTTATCCAGGAAAAAGCAAATGTCACAGAATTTCATGTTTTATTAAAAACATTAATATTATCAATTCACAATAGATAAAAAGGCTAAAATAGATTAGCAATATTATTTTTATAACCTAAATGTGTCCCAGCATAATTGATCCACACTCAATAAATGCCTGCCTCCCTCCAGTATCACACAAATGTTTGTTTCTCACTGTAGGAAAAAATTGGTTGGCGGAATGACTCCCTCCACCTCCTGGTCTTTGTGAGTGATGCTGATTCTCATTTTGGAATGGACAGCAAACTGGCAGGCATCGTCATTCCTAATGATGGGCTCTGTCACTTGGACAGCAAGAATGAATACTCCATGTCAACTGTCTTGGTGTGTAACCTGCACTCTGTACTGTTTTCAGGGCTATAAGTAGGAGAATGAAGCAGCAACTGGTGTAATACATGTGAAATAACTCACGCTTGGTGAAAGCCGTGCACATTTTCTAATTTGAGATTAACACATTGCCCCAGTTCAATTCTCACCATCCTTAGAGGTTCCCACCGGAGCATAGGTGGGCAGTGGGACATGTGGGAAGCTGGATGTGCTATGAATCCCATGATCCCAGAACCTCCCCAACCTCTCAAAAAGCCTGGTGCTGGTGAAGCAATACAGGCAGCTCATTCTGTTCTCAGCCATGGCCTCAGAAAGGAGGGACCCAAACCAGAACAGTAACCATGTAGGATTTGCGGTGAATGATGGTCCCTGAATCATGCCATGCTTTCATGTTCCATGGGTAACAACTAGTCAGGTATGGCTTGGTTGGTGCTTATTAACCTTTGGCTTATTTTTTGTAATTTATAAAATGCTAGTGACATTCAAAGAAAACAACTGACTTTCGTAAAACCAGGAAGAAATTTCAGAGCTCTTTGGACATGCATGATCTTCTCAATAGACCCCTATGTATCCAACCGCTTTTCCTGAACAGACCATGAGGCTGCCATGCTTTGCACATGTTATTCCCTCTGCCTGGAATATTCTTCCCTCCTAGCCTGCTGAGAAATTCTTCATTATCCTTGAAAAGCCAGCTCAGTCATTACTGTCCCCAGAGAGCCTTCTTTGACCTCTGGTAGGCTCTGAAGCAACTGTCTTTCCCTTCAGTTGCATATGCAGATGTGTTCTTGCGCATCTCTACGTAGAAATACGTTTTCTTACATCTCTCTTTCTTGCGCAATCCTCAGGGCCAGGCCTGGTTTATTATCTCTGTTTCCTGATAGCACAGTGCCTAGAACACAGTGAGTGCCAACTAATGTATGAAATAGAGGCTGGGCGCATTGGCTCTCGCCTGTAATCCCAGCACTTTGGGAGGCCAAGGCGGGCAGATCACGAGGTCAGGAGATCAAGACCATCCTGGCTAACACTGTGAAACCCCGTCTCTACTAAAAAATACAAAAAATTAGCCAGGCACGGTGGCGGGCACCTGTAATCCCAGCTACTCGGGAGACTGAGGCAGGAGAACGACGTGAACCCGGGAGGCGGAGCTTGCAGTGAGCCAAGATCGCACCACAGCACTCCAGCCTGGGAGACAGAGCAAGACTCTGTCTCAAAAAGAAAGAAAGAAAACAAAGAAATAGATATGATTTCTGAAGCAGCAATCTGCGATTGTCATATTTTCCCCATTTAACACTTGGGGAAATATGGTACAGAGAATTTAAGTGACTTCTTAGAACAATGCTGTGGAGGTGTAGGTGGGGGAGAAAGAGAGGGGGAGGGGATGCAAGAGGAGAGAAAGAGGGAGACAGGAACCTAGAATTCTAATGTCAATTGGAAAGCTATTCTCTAAAAACTCTTAACAGTTCATTACTCACTACTATTCCTTGACCTAAATTTCTAAATTTCAACATGAATATTTTCCCCAAACATTTGATCAGTAGTATTCCCCAAATGTGTATATTCTTTAATCACATACTCTGCCTTTTCATATTACAATATCAGTGAGGATAGCCACATGTTGTCTTTTAGTCAGTGAGGGGCAAGGAACTGGAAAATTGATCCCCTTTTCATTACCCTTTTCTTGCAACTTTTCAAAAACTCCACAAAAACTCCATTTTGAATGAGGCAAGATCATAAAAGCTAACACTACCTATTGCCTAATATGACCTTCTCAGCTAATAAATGTTCAAGTCCTTCTTTCTGAATAAGTTGAAACAAATCCACAGAAGCCAGAGACCATATCTATGCCTGTCTGCAACATAGCCCCCAGGTCCTCTGAGCACTTCCTGTGTACTCAAAACTTGGGCCAGATTCCTCAGGCTAAAAAAATAATACAAGGTGGTTCCTGGCCTTGAACTTACAATATGGTGTGGGAATTAAACCAACAGATCTGATTTAAATAGAAAACCAACTTCGCTCACCTACGAAGGGCTATGTGGTGTGATCCTGGCTACACACTAGCACAGCAGCTGAGGGGTGTGGTAACATGTGGAGATAAGGAGAGACTGGCACTGGAGGGATTTAGGCATCAGCATAAAGGATTTGTATGCAGTTAAAAAGCAGACGAAATGGATACAATTTGGTATCTCTATTAATAAAAATCCAAATGTGATGGAAATCACATATGACACAGCAATTTGCAGTTGGGTAATTTACTGCAGTATTTTAGGCAAAACTACACTTTTCTCTCAACCTGAACCCTATGCCTAAAGAAGACTTTAGATGAAAATCCTCCAGTAGTACTGAGAATATGTGACTATTCCATATCAGTGTACAGGAGGGCTTATTTATCAGTGTTCCTCCCTTTGGCTGACTTCTGTCATAATCAACATATTCTTAATTTAATTGTTAGCAGGCTAGTACCTCACTTGAGTTTCCTCTTTGTACATTATTCACATTTAGATTCATATAATGGGCAAATGCACATCATGTTTTCCAAACTTGAAAAGTAAAGTCCATATTCAAATTTAAAAATTAAGCTTCTTTTATTTTTTGTAAAGTACTCATATCACTGAGAATGAACATGCCAATGGAACAGAAGTACAATGTAGTTCTCAATTGTCCTGTGAAAATATTGCAGGATTCCATACAACCAACTTGTGATATTAAAAAGGCAGTCAAACCAAACCCAAGAATTAGTACAGGAATGTCATAGTATGTCATACCTCAGCAACCCTCATTCCACCTCATCCAATTCCAATAGGAGTTTCAGAGCTACAAAAGTCACCTCAGTCACGTATATCATAGTCCAACAGCCCCTCCCTCGACTGTAGCATCCCTAGCCTGCTGGTAAGTGTCACTTAGAAGGAAAAGAAATGTTTCTCTACCCTTGAAAATATGACACACTGTTAGTCTTTAAATAAATTTCAAATGATCTTCTTAGAAGTGGCAGACCATGATACACCACATCAACAGGAACTGACTCTTAGGACTTGATTGGATTTATAAGATTTAGAAAAAGATTATTAAACCAACTACGTGAATAATGCTAATTGTGTATTTGTTTACTTAGAGTGATAGAGCTATAATGCCTGTGAGCATTGAAATGCCAAACTCAGAAAGATATCTTTGAAATCAATATTCCTTTCTTTATTTACATTATCTTATTGAGATGATGCAAAATTATATATGTTAATTTTAGGAATATCCAACAATTGGACAACTCATTGATAAACTGGTACAAAACAACGTGTTATTGATCTTCGCTGTAACCCAAGAACAAGTTCATTTATATGAGGTAAGCAAAAATATCTTGGGAAATTCCTTCAAGGGGATTATGTGACATGAAGCTTTAACATTAACTCTGTGAGTTTAACACATGGGAAGACCATTAGATAATCATTAACACATACCAAATGTACTGGGCGTTTGGCTAAGTGGACTCATTTAGTGCTTGCAATTTAAATTGTAAACACCAAGGTGCAGTAGGGCATGGGGAGCAGATAAGGTGGGATGAGAAAGACTGAGTTAAGGAAATGAAACAGATAGATTGGAGGAGAGTATCAACAAATATAGGACCACCTACCTAAAAGAAAATTTATTCTCTGTCCCCTTGAATTATTTCATCTGATGAGGGAGTTAACAGAGAACGGAGAAAATCTTAAGAGTGGGAGGAGAATTGACTTCACCTTCTTTGGCATTTGCAAATTAGATACTTAGAAAAGACACACACAGAGACACAAGCTATTGAGAAGTGGAAAGTTAAAGGAAAAAAACTTGTTATATGGGGCCAAAAAATAATTTACCCCTTAAACCAGCTGGATTGCAGCTCAAGTGTTTGAATGGAAGCACCAACTGGAAAAAGGGAACGGTTTCATTAGATGAAGTGCTGTCCCCAAACCACTGTGCAAACTGCAAAAAAATACAACATATGCACATACAAAAGGTTTCTGTGGTTTTTTCCCAGCCTAGGAAAAGTAATATGTCAAACGCCCTGAATTGATTTACTCCTAATCTACAGTTTTACAGAGAAGTAAGGAGTCTTTAGCAGGGGCCCTAAAAATAATGCAGAGAAATTAAATAGTCTGTGCCTTCTGTGCAGAAGCGGCAAATGCTCCTAAATACAGAGTTTGATCTCTCATTCCTTTTGAAAGGACCTCTTAACTTGCTTGGTGACTTCACAGGGCTTCTGAAACTCTCAGATTATGTCACAGAAGGCTTTGATTAAATGCCACTCACTACTAAGGACGGTACAGCCCCATGAACTTGCATCAGGTTCTGTAGAAAGGATCCAGCAGGAGATGCTATCTTGCATTTTGAATGAGAGGAGGGTATTGTACTCCCAGGTGAGATTGCCTTCTGCTGCAAACCAAGGAAGTTCCTTGCAATCAAGCTCCATACTTGAAGCCTTTGTTCTACACAGAGACCATGTGGGTTCACCTGATCTGGGCATTTGCTTCAGGCTTTTTAGTATGTGATATTTGTTTCCAGTGGTTTTAAGTAGTAGAGTTGCAGTTGAGACTTTTTTTTAAATACCCCCAAATACAATAGCGAGTCTATTCTGCCTTTGATCCTTAAGGCTAGTGTGAGAGGACCCTGGGGGTCACAACACCTTCTCCACAGCAAGGCTCCAGTTTAGGAGTGGGAGAAGGAGTTGCACAGGACTTTTCTTCTAAGGGGAGTCTAGGGAATGCGATTGATGATCATGAACATAGACTTCCATAACTCACTTTGGTAATAGTCTTTAAGACTCACAACTCATTTATACGTCTCCCCAAAACCGCTATTAAAAAGACAGAGGAAGATGAAAAATCACTACATGGCAAAACAGAATCTGTCGGATTTAAGCTAGTTGCATCCATGATTCCCCTGTTGCAAGGGAAATGATCATTTCCGAGGAAAATGCCAGATTAGAGCCTGCCTCTAATGTAACAGCAGGACATCGATTTTGCCTGTCTTCTAATCTCATTATGAGGTGAATTTATGTTCTGTCATGATCTGTGGTCTTTACCATCCAGCTTTCACTAAATTCAAAGGGACATTTTCAGGGGGTCATATGACAGTCCAGGTCAGCCACCCGCTCTATGACTCTGACCATTTCATTGTTTTATTTTTATTTTGATGGGCTCATCATTCCATCTGTATTAGTGGGGGCAGGCAGCAGCCTGGCCTAAAGATAATAACAGCAACAGTGCACGTCCTTGAAGCCTTCACGCAGCATGAAAATGCTGATCTTCCCTTTTATTGATAATGAAAACTGAAAACGGTCCACTAGTGGCTTGTGTTGCCTTTCAATTCACATCTTTCAGGAGTCCTGTGTGTGCAGGAGTCCTGTGCAATTTGATGTTTGGATAACTGTGATATAAGGAACGTAGCTACTGAAGAATCACTGAAAAATAAAAACCAGTGATAGAATAAATAAAGCGATTAAGTGGTTAGATCTCATGAAAATTCCAGAAGGAAAATTATTTGCCCGAGTTACATGTTAAGCATAGTTACTTGCCTGCACAGGCAGCACAGGTTTAGGTTCAACGAAGGCCCTGTCTGCAGCAAATTAAATTTATGTTGCCCACTCATGGAATGCAGGAAAAATGACTGTTTTTTTAGTAATTGTGGTAGGATGCTTTGGACTGCCCAGGTGTGTAGTTTGCCTGTACATTGTTGTAACAGAGATGAAAGGTGAAAAGCATAAAGTAAGCAGTTTTGCCTTTAGTTCAGTATGACTGTAGTGTGCACCCCAGACTCCAGCCAACAGAATATTTTTGAACAAACTTATTATTATGAATAGTTTCCTGTTTGTCCAATTATAGGGTTCAAAAGATAATGATGATAATAGACTGAGCAGTGGGTAGTATATTACATTCTAGAGTTAACTACCATTTTGAATCAGGATTCAATTACCCAAGTTAAAAAAAAGTGTTTATATTTCCTCTGTTATTTTAAAATGTTTACTGTTAATTTTACGATAGATAGTATCAGGCCACTAAACCTTAACTGTCTTATTTGAATAGTTTCTCTTTCCTAGTGAGCTATTGAGATAAAAAGCAATTAAATCAATATTCTTTATGATGTTGTCGAATCTTATTGTTAATCACTGTGGGTTATTTCCAAGGCTTTAAAATATCCTATATCTATTCAAAATGCTTACATCTGGCTTGAAAGATGACTTTAGTGAAGTTAATAGCAATAATTATTATATGACCTGGTATTTGTGTGTAATGCTGAAACACAGCAATTAGAAAGTAAACAAGAAGTATACTGGTACTTCCAGTTTACTCACTAACTTCTGTGACCACTGATTAATATCTCTTGGCTATTAGGACAAAGCAATGTTTCTAAAGCCTGAGAGAAGGGGAGTACAAGCAGGTTTTTATGCAGCCAAAGGGACCTTTCCTCTGGAGACAAAAACCCCTCAATCATTAGCTCTTTGAGGAGAATAACAGGTCTTACTCATCTGTTTAGGCCAATTCTCGAAGCACAGTAGATTCTCAGTAGCTTTTGTGAAGTGAATTACAAATTGCAATAAAAGCACTTCATCTTTTCTAAAATTGGGTCAAGAGAAAGACTTGGAGTTTTGCATGACAAATACTTGTTAAGATTGAGGAAGCCCATGTGCACAGAGCAAGGGGCGGCACCTGACCATTGCCAGGACCTTCTGCAGCCCTGGCTGTCCCTTCTTCCATCTCTCCCACATTGGACGCAGATGGCAATGAGGAAAGAACACTCTGCCATCAGTCTTAGGACCAACATGTTGGAGAAGCTCGCAGCCTTCTAGCAGGCCATAAAAGGAACACCCTGAGCAAGTATACACCTGATGACCATTAGATCTATAAACAAACATAAACAGCAGCCACATATGCCATGAACCTGATGTCCTTGCGTGGCTTGTGGAGATTATCCACTATACGTAAGTTTCCATTTTTCAGGAATCAATAACCCAGCTGTTATTTTACCTCTTCTTTCTTCTACTTGGTTCTTTTGAGCTTTTCATTGCAGCAAGGGAGGAAAAGAGGCAGAGAAAATAGAGAAAGAAAATAAACATTGGACCCCTTTGCTATTTGTTAGCCTGTTCTATTATTGTTTCGTTTTATAATGTTCCTGTTGGAAAGATCAAAGCAATTTTGCTCCAGTGGAAATCTCTTTATCTCTCTGGCCTCAGTTTTTAGAAAATAAAAAGACTGGGTGGGAAGACTTCCAGCCTCAACAGTCAATGACCTTGATTCTGGAGGAGGGAAATTACCATGAATTCCAATGATCTCCACACAAATAACAAAGTTTAATAAGCTGTAATGTAGCTAATTTTAGGGCACAGTCTAGATATTCTTTATCCTATCAATCTCATTCTGTAGTGGATGGAGTATTCCAAACTTATGATTTTAGTAAAAACAAAATCATCTAGGAGTAAAACGACAACTTCTGGATTATAAGACATCTCCATGGAGGTAATAAATTGCTCTTTATTTAAGTGTAATGGAAAGTATTTTCATTTCTCCTTAACTGATAGTATCTGGGAACAAAGACTGAGGAGGGCCAGCTGCCTACACTTTCCTCATTAATGAAAACATCCCTTAGAGAGGGAGGATTTGGAAATAAACCTTATGTCCTCAGATTATCAGTCAGAGTTGTTGGGAGTATTTTCCAAGCTAATTGATAAATCTTAATCATGAAAAATCATCAGTTACTCCTTAGATCACACATAGTACTTTTCTTCTAAAGAACTCAAAGCCTCATAATTGAGAAAGTAAACACAAGAAAGAAAAAGGTACAGGTTTGAAGCAGGACCTTAAAGAGATGCCTGATTAAGCCAATACTTGCAGAAATATAAAATGAGATTTTTTTTTTTCTTGAGACAGAGTCTCACTCTGTTGCCCAGGCTGGAGTGCAGTGGCATGATCTCAGCTCACTGTACCCTCCACCTCCCAGGTTCAAGCGATTCTCGTGCCTCAGCCTCCCGAGTAGCTAGGATTCCAGATGTGCGCCACCATGCCCAGATAATTTTTGTATTTTTAGTAGAGACAGGGTTTCATCATGTTAGTTCACCAAACTGATCTCAAACTCCTGGCCACATGTGAACCACCAACCTCGGCCTCCCAAAGTGCTGGGATTACAGGTGTGAGCCACTGTGCCGGATCTAAAATGTAATTTAAATAATGCAAGGTCTAAATGCTTTGAGATTTACACAACACACAGGATACCTAGCGTATCACTGAAACTAAGATGCTATGGACTGCACAGTCATTCATCCCTTCATTTCTCAAACATATGATGAGTACCTCCCGTGAACTAGGCCAAAGTTTG